CCCCCCAAAAAAGTGTCACGTGATTAATGGACGCCCCCTAAAGGCGATAGTTGCATGAATAATAACTATTTTCGTTCATTTTCAATACGTGAATCACTGAAAAAATTAATAACCGCCAAAGTACGACAGAAGACAAACTCTAATTGGCGCCCAAATGCTTGTCATTTTATTGTCGATTTTTGGTGAAAATTTCAGATTTAAAAAAAATTAGCTTTTTGAGTAATTAACGATTGAGATAAAAAAAACGTTTTCTTGTATAAACCCACTCAAACTGAAGATAATGCTGTGTATGACGTCTTGTTTTGAAGGGTTTTTCATTTTCTTTGAGTGTGCTAATGGGCTATTTGATAGTTTGAAACCCCGCAGAGATATTGGGGCCAATTTGGAAAAAAAAAATTCGTTATATCTGCACCGTTTCGATTTTCCTCGCCAAATTACGGGAAGAAACCGGCTTATTTCATTCCTCGGATTTAATTATTTAAAAATATTCTTTTACAGACACTTATGTAAATATTTCTTACGAGGAATGTACTTATTCGTCATAGATTTAATTCAGTAACGAAGTGGTAAAACGGTTTAAGTCGACTTACCTCTTAGTTGAGTTTTTGAAGAATATCTCCGAATCTAAAGAAGATAATGAAATTTTCGTAATAACCTTTTTTCTAGAGCAAATTGAGTGCTACAAGGAAGGTCTTGACAAAAATTTAGCTATCTCCCTTAGATTCCGACATATTCACTAAAATCTGGCCAATTGTCAAAATCAAGTTAAACCGCTTTACCACTTCGCTACTGAATTAAAAATTGAGTATGATGGAATGAATACAGTCACTCCATTCATCTTCAATTGATTTGAAAAAATCTTTACCCAGTATTTGAAGAATCTTACTGAATTGATGTTAAAATTATGGAATACAGAGTGGAACGTCATACTCAATTCAAAAAGAAAATGATGGAATTATTGTTACAGCAAATCGGACTACAACCTTTCAACGTATTCTGTAAAAAATTGAATATAAATCCATTTAGACGATTATTCCCCTACAAATATTTCTTCAATTTACCGTCATTCAGAAAAAAATACAAATTTCACGTCAAAACGACTGGAATTGATTCAATCAAAATTGAAACCGCCCCTCGATTGTCGTCATCGATTCCTCCCCTCATTATTTTCTCTTCACATTTTCAGCTGACAGAAGATGAGAAAGATAAATTTCGCGATCACCTGTACTCATCCGGGAAGCTATCGAGCATCGATAACAGCGACTTTTACAAAGTGCCATTCTACAAAGTCCCCGATTTGATCAGAAGTAGGCGGGTATTTGTGTACAATGGTATGGCATTTACGCCCCAATCGGAGCTTGCATCACTCTTCATAAGTCATTTCAAGGAGCACCTCAAGCGGGAGTTTGAAGTGAGCAATTCAATTCATAAAAACGTTCACTGGATATCCCACCTCTAATTACACAGACCTACTTCTGCATTTTTTTCGTACAGGGATGAGACTGCCACCACTGGAAATATTTTAGCATGCTGATTTCAAATCCGCCGGACAAATTTTATAAAATGACCTAGGTTCTAAGGAAAAAATGTTGAAGTCCTAAAAATGGCCTAAAATCGTCGTTTTCCAAATTTAAGGCCCAGGTGTACTATCTCTCGAATGTTATCTGGATTTTTTTTTATTTTTCGTAATTCAAAACTGTCAATTGAGTGGTACATCATGTAGAAATTCCCAAAAATTATGATAGAATGATTTTTTAAAAATAGAAAAAATTCTGAACTTTTTCAAAGCGCGTTTTTAATTGAAATGCAGAATGAGTTGAAAAAAATGGAAGTTACAAATATCTGATTCGCAGTGGCAAATTATCTATTAGCTGTAATTTTCCATGGTGGATAATAAAACACTAACTCCTCATGGGAAGTGGCAGCTAGGTATCTCAATTTTCAAAACAGTGGTATGTAGTCATCTGCCATTTTTATGTGATAAAAGTGTGATTAAAAAATTCTCCAAAATATTACAACTTTTTTCAAAGAGTCTTTTCCGTAATAAATGTCTCTGTGCAGTGTGGGAAAAAATTTACGAAATCAGTCTTCCTCCTGCATGATAATAGGTGACAGGCCGCCATTTGTCACCGTAAATCAGATACATTCCTCAACTTCTTATTGTTCAACTTATTCTGAATATAAATGAAAAATTCTCTTTGAAAAAATTAAGAATTTCTTCTACTTTTTTTCTATTATTCATTCATAATTTTTTAAAACTTCTGCATGATGTAGCACTCAATTGACAATTTCAGATGACGAAAGATGAAAAAAAAAACATCGAGATAACGTTCGAAAGATAGTACACCTGGGCCTTAAGTAAAAAATCACTTTTGAAAATAAATTTTTGTTTGCGAATTTGTTTTTCAGAGCCTGATGAAGCTAAAATAATTTAGCGAAACGTCGCACTGTGACAATTTAATCATCGTCGTAATGATTTTTCCAATATCCCCTGACCTTTCTTATATTGATTAATATCATGGAGATGAAATCAATCATTAACTGTAAAAAATAACTTCCGTGTCTATTGAGCTGAAAAAAAAGCAACAAAAAGACCAAAAATTATAGTTGCAGATGGGGTAGGGTAGGTTTAATTAAAAGCAGGAATTTATTCGTAATGACTTCTGCATTTTTTCATTAAAATTGCATTTATTTTGCGAAAGAATGGCATAGCGACAATATTCTGAAGTCACCCGCTATATTTTGTTTTTCTGTGCGTTACAGTATCCGGGTGAAAAAAACTTCATACCCAAGTATTTTTATAGAAAAAATTTCAAGAGAATATTCATATAGAAAAATCTAAATCTATTGACTTTTGACTCCTTTTGACTCCTATCAAACATCTCATAGATGAGAAACAAATAGAATTTTACCGAGAATTCCCTAGAATTTTAATAGAATCCCAATAAAATTTCCAGAAGAATCCAATAGAATTTTCTATCGAATTCGCCAAGTTTTTCTATTGAATTTTTTCATACGTGCACATGCCTTATTTTTTAATTAAATTATAAAAAAAGCCATGTTGGGTCATTTTGAGGACTTTACCATTTTTTCCTCACAAACTAGGTCATTTTATGAAATTTTGCCGGCGGATTTGTAATCAGCGCGCAAAAATCTTCTCATCCCTGTGCCGAAAAAAGCCGGAATTTTGTACAACTGTGTTATTCCAATCTTCATTTCCATAATATTTGCAGGCTGCGACACAGGAATTCTACCGACTCCAGTGCGATTCCAGGATCTTCGAGTTTCTCAGAGAACTTCCCAATTATTTCGCTGAAATTCAACGTGTCGTGTGGTCAACTGAGACAACTCCGATTGAGTCCCTAGATGAGGTAAAAATTGAAGAAAAATGATAATAATTAAGAAATGCCACTGTAACAGGAAATAATTTGAAACTTGCAGTTATCAAGGACTTCGTACCCATTGTGCATGAGGACGCTCCACGAAGCATTAAGAGTTAATCACCACCTGAAGAACCAAGGTCGTGTGCAGTATATCCTATTTTTGAAGGGCATTGGCGTCACGATGGAAGATTGCACGCAATTCTGGCGTGCGGAATTCACGAAGAAGATGGAACCCGAGAAATTCGAGAAGGAGTACGCTTATGGCGTCAGGTTTCTGTATGGAAAGGCTGGGGGCAATCGTAATTACACGCCAATGGGGTGTAATAAAATTATAACTACAGCTGCTGGGCCTGGGGAGTTCCACGGTTGTCCGTACAGGTCTATGGACAGCGACATACTGCAGCAAAAGCTCATTGGATTCAATTTGCCAGCCTCAGGTGACACAATTTATTTACGAAGTCCAGTATAGAAATATCCGTGAGCGTTACCGGGCTTCTTTCTATGGTTTCTATGCTCAATTCCGTCTCCTTCTTCTAGGAATAATACACGTAGTATACTCATTGGAAAGCTTATTAAATAAGCTTCAAAATGACACCTTATTTGTCGATTGCTGTCAATTTTTCATTAACTTATCAGAGTTTTAGATGAAAATTGATTTTTCATGTTTCACTTAAAACATCAACTTTTTGGCATTTTGACAAAAAATATTAGTCGACACGCGGCCTAAAAAAACTTCTCTCGCTCATATGATTGCAACTCTCGCCTTTGGCTCGGGCTGCAACCTCATATTCACCAGAAAAGTTTTTGTTTTTGTGGAAAGCTATTTGAATTGCCTTCTTTAAGGGGATACATCGGTGAAATTTAAGTCTTCACTGGGCCTTGGGATCCATTGAACAGTTTGTGATATCTGACGGAATATGGGAATAACTAGGGAAAATCGCGGACTCGATCGATTTTGCCCCGTATAACCACGAAAATCTTAATTTTTTCCTGTTTTTACCTTCCAAATGCTCCTAGCGCCGTAGTTTTCGAACAATTTTAGCTTTTTTTTCATTGTTCGTTGCCNATGAAATTTTGCCGGCGGATTTGTAATCAGCGCGCAAAAATCTTCTCATCCCTGTGCCGAAAAAAGCCGGAATTTTGTACAACTGTGTTATTCCAATCTTCATTTCCATAATATTTGCAGGCTGCGACACAGGAATTCTACCGACTCCAGTGCGATTCCAGGATCTTCGAGTTTCTCAGAGAACTTCCCAATTATTTCGCTGAAATTCAACGTGTCGTGTGGTCAACTGAGACAACTCCGATTGAGTCCCTAGATGAGGTAAAAATTGAAGAAAAATGATAATAATTAAGAAATGCCACTGTAACAGGAAATAATTTGAAACTTGCAGTTATCAAGGACTTCGTACCCATTGTGCATGAGGACGCTCCACGAAGCATTAAGAGTTAATCACCACCTGAAGAACCAAGGTCGTGTGCAGTATATCCTATTTTTGAAGGGCATTGGCGTCACGATGGAAGATTGCACGCAATTCTGGCGTGCGGAATTCACGAAGAAGATGGAACCCGAGAAATTCGAGAAGGAGTACGCTTATGGCGTCAGGTTTCTGTATGGAAAGGCTGGGGGCAATCGTAATTACACGCCAATGGGGTGTAATAAAATTATAACTACAGCTGCTGGGCCTGGGGAGTTCCACGGTTGTCCGTACAGGTCTATGGACAGCGACATACTGCAGCAAAAGCTCATTGGATTCAATTTGCCAGCCTCAGGTGACACAATTTATTTACGAAGTCCAGTATAGAAATATCCGTGAGCGTTACCGGGCTTCTTTCTATGGTTTCTATGCTCAATTCCGTCTCCTTCTTCTAGGAATAATACACGTAGTATACTCATTGGAAAGCTTATTAAATAAGCTTCAAAATGACACCTTATTTGTCGATTGCTGTCAATTTTTCATTAACTTATCAGAGTTTTAGATGAAAATTGATTTTTCATGTTTCACTTAAAACATCAACTTTTTGGCATTTTGACAAAAAATATTAGTCGACACGCGGCCTAAAAAAACTTCTCTCGCTCATATGATTGCAACTCTCGCCTTTGGCTCGGGCTGCAACCTCATATTCACCAGAAAAGTTTTTGTTTTTGTGGAAAGCTATTTGAATTGCCTTCTTTAAGGGGATACATCGGTGAAATTTAAGTCTTCACTGGGCCTTGGGATCCATTGAACAGTTTGTGATATCTGACGGAATATGGGAATAACTAGGGAAAATCGCGGACTCGATCGATTTTGCCCCGTATAACCACGAAAATCTTAATTTTTTCCTGTTTTTACCTTCCAAATGCTCCTAGCGCCGTAGTTTTCGAACAATTTTAGCTTTTTTTTCATTGTTCGTTGCCCTCCAAAGAATAAAGTTAAGCATCCATTTTACTTTATTCGCAATAGATCATGAATAAATGATTTTTGAATTTCATAAATTTTTCGCGTCTGGAATAGAGTAAAATTTATCAATAAATGAATTTTGGATTTCATAAATTTTTCATTCTGCAAAATGGTGTAGGATAAATCTCGAGAATGAAGACTCGCATATGAGCCAATGGTTGCACAGGACATAGTATTTGCAGAAAAAATTGATGATTGGGAAATATAAAACAAATTTACTAACAAATTCTCCCTCGAATTTCCGGAATCGGGTAGAATACTTGTATAATTGAATTTTCTTGATAATGAGTGGGTTCAGGGAATAACAGGAAGGAAGAGTTCTCGTTTTCAATTTTCTGGACTACTAAATAAATCTCCTCACCTTTTTACTATTCTAATAGTTATCTATTCTCAAGATGAATGAACCATTATGCAGACATGAATTATTCTGTGGACTCAAGACTGAGTGATTTCATGGGAAAATATCAAAAGCCAATTTTGACGTAAAGTTTTCTTAAAATTATTCGGTTCTAGAACGAATCGACTATTTTTCTTTAATATTTTCAAATAAGTGAAATAATCGTTTTCTAAAATTTAGGAAAAATGCCTTAAATTGTTAACAAATTGAGATGGTCTATTCGTTATGAAAGATAAATTAAACGATGAACTTTTTTTTTATAATGTATATTAAAAAATCTACTCATTCTAAGCTAAGAGACGTTCATGTCAACGTGAATCGTTACTAGTACTCCTAATTAATCGATCGTCCATAAAGATAGTTGAGAGTGAGGAAAAGAACCGATACAGAACAATATTAAAAGACGCGTTTTGTTGGAAATTTTCTCAGCCGCAAAAATATGCGAATATGTCTTGAAATTTTCTCCTAAAATTGCAGCCGTTCAAGCTAAATGAAACTTTAAAATAGAGCTTTCCCAACATCCCTCGTTCTCTACATAAAACTAATTAGCCCTGTGGACTCAATTTTTTCATTCTTTCAAACTTACGTGGAATAGTTGACTCAGTGCATCATACATGGTAATGCAATATATCACATCACTATTCTCATTCTCCTTTCAAATGTGACCCATGAAATAACGGCATAGTCACTCTTTCCATAACCGATACTGTAATGCTTCTTTAATTATCTTAGGCGTGTCTGAAATAGTCGAGTTGGCTAAGGGAGGCCACTACAATCTCGCCTGCGCCAAGTACTTCGAGGTAACTCATAAATGTCCCCCAGAACGTCCCCTCTTGCATCCAAATGCCTACTTCGCTGAGAGTCGAGAAGTGATTGCCAAAGTCACCGGTAATGCAGGTAAGAATTCATCTTCATTGCACTCAAAAGCGCCGACGTCATCACTGAATGTTAATACCAATCGTGCAATTTTTCATCTGCCAGACACACCAGCGGATGACAAATCAAATCGACTATCAAAAATGAAGGGTGAATCTCTCTCACAAGCGAGATCGCCGGCTAGAACACCTGCGAGATCGTCGATTCGTACGCCGGTTCGTACGTCCGTTAAATCATCATCATCAATTAAGAAGAAGAATATTAAAGATGAAACTGGTGACATTGCAGAGATGCTTCAGGAGGATGATGAGTCGTTTATGGAGCTCAATGATGTGGATTTTTGAAATTCAGTTGCGAAGTGGTGGAGCGTAATGAGTTGATTTTTTGCTCTAACAATTATGCATTCAGTTTGGAAACGAATGACTGATCTTTCGTATAAGCAGAAAAAAATTTGATTGAAAAGGTTTCTCAACATTTTCACGTAAACTATTCGCTGTAAACTCTTCTCGTAATCTGTTCAATATAAACTGGAGATTTAATGAGGTGTGAAAGATTGACTTTCTTTGTTTTGTTCTGCTACGTTTGATCATTTGAGGATTGAATCATTTCCTTATAATTTTCGCCAATATAAAAAATACCAACTCTGCTCCTGCGAAGCACCATTACCTCTGAATAGACTAACCCAGTCTTTTCTTATAATTTTCCAATATAAAAAAATACTATTTTCCAATATAAAAAAATACTAATTCTTGAATCGTCCTGTGTCCATAGTTATTAATTTTTGGAAATCCACAAACTTTAGTCACTTCATTACTATATTGTGTACTACCTGAAGCTTTTCGGTTTACAAAAATTAATAGCTATAGTAACGGCACTCTTTGCATGTGTTGAATTTTTCCAATTTTTTTTTAAATTTTTCCAAAAAGTAATAACTATGCACAGGAAGACTATTCTAAAATTCAACACATAAAAGGGGTATTATTACCTCGGAAAAGACTAATCCAGATGAGATATTGTATTGAGGCCTTTATAAAAGTTCTAATGCAGGTTCGCAAAATGTCAACTAATGTGTTATATATTTTTAATTAAAATTATTGCAGAAATTCGTATTATTGCAAAATGTTCGTATGGACACATCAAAATTGGTTCAGTAGTCAAGTGGTGAGATCACACGTATGAAAAAATCGTATGGAATTTCTATAGGATTTTCGTATATGATATTCGGATATTTCTATACGGATATTTTTTATACAAATTATTTCTATACGATTTCTATAGGTTTGATCCTATACGACCCACTGCCACATCTATAGAAACATTTCGTATGGAGTTGCGACATTTTTCTGCGGTTTTCTCTGGTGCGTTTAGACATCTTTCGTATGAAAAAAAAATTTCCGTAAACATTTATGTATAGAAATAATTCGTATAGCAAATATTTCTATAGAAATATCTAAATGTCATATACGGAAATCCTATAGAATTTATATAAGAAATCCGTATAGAAAATTTTTATACGATTTTTTCATACTTGCAACACCTTTATTTTTACATTTCTGTTCACTGTGGCTTTATTCTGAAAACGAGGGGTTTCATGAAAGAATTTCAAGACTTCTTTTGTAGATTAGGAAAGATCCAGACAAAGAAGTCTCTTGATATTTTCTCATAGAGCCGTGAGTAATTTGAATAAGCATGTGCAATGAAGAGTGAAAAATCGACTTCTTCTGTTACGTTTCACCATTCAACGGCTGAATTACCTCTTTATTCTTAGGTATTATACTCTAATAGAGAAATATTATCGTTGCGGTTAATCATTCGGGTCTGTAAAAGGCAGATGGGTGATGGGTCTAGATCTAAGATTCAAGGCGATTGACAACAGTATAATAATACGGGGGCCTTCATATGAGTTCTAATGTAATTTTTAAAATGTCAACCTATTTTGTATACATTGTTAATAAAAATCATTTGAAAAGCAATTGTTTGTTTATGGATCTCAGAATTAATCCAGTAGTAAAGTGTTGAAACATAGGCTATATGAGGGATATGATAATTGACATTACGTATGAAAAAATTCAATAGAAAAACTTGGCGAATTCGCTAGAAAATTCTATTCTATTGGGATTCTATAAAAATTCTAGGCAGTTCTCGTTACAATTCTATTTGTTTCTTGCGCTGATTCTATGAGATATCTGATGGGAAAAAGTCAATAGATTTCGATTTTTCTATTTGAGTGTATTCTCTTGGAATTTTTTCTCTAAGAATAATTGGGCATGAATTTTCTAAGTTTTTTTCACTCGCATGCTGTATTGCAAAACAAAATAAAATATAGCGGAAAAAACTCAGAAAATCGTGGCCAATAATTTTAATAGAAAAAATTCAAACAGAAAAATCGAAATCTATTGACTTTTTCCTCTCAAATATCCAATAGAATCTCCATACAATTTCTACAGAATTTCAATCGAATTTTCTAGCGCATTCGCCAAGGTTTTCTATTAAATATTTTATACGTGATAACATGTTACTGACCTATTATCTGACGCGTCAGAAAGCGTCATGATAGGAACGGGAATTTGACAACACGCATGAAAAAATTTAATAGAAAAACCTATCGAATTCGTTAGAAAATTCTATTGAATTCCTATTAAACTTTCTATTAGTTTTTGGCTGATTCTATTGACATGTTCAATAGAAAAAGTCAACAGAATTCGATTTTTCTATAACTTATCCTTTTCAGATATTTTCTATAGAATTTGCTCGACTCAAATTTTCAACGTTTTTTTCACTCCATTTTTCTTTTCTTCTCATCAAGAAAATCAAACGAGAAAATTTGAGCCGAAGAAATTCTATAGAAAATATCTCAATAGAATAAGTTATATAGAAAAATTGAATTCTATTGACTTTTTCTACTGAATTGTTTCTATTGAACATTTCAATAGAGTCGGGTAAAAACTAATAGAACAGTTCAATAGAAATTCAATAGAATTTTCTAACGAATTCGAATAGATTTTTCTATTAAATTTTTTCGTCCGTGAAATACTTATCAAATGACAAAATTATAACTAATTCATCGTCTGACCATCACAATACATCTACCTACTATCGGAATGAACTATAGATTTCTGGGCCTCAACTGCAGAAGTTGTTTTGGCGATGAATAACAGCCGAAAACATTCAAGTTCATGTTTTTTATTCATGTTTTTTACTTTGGGGGAAAAATCAATGAAAACTCTCAATTTTAGTTCAATTATTAAGAGAGTTGCGTCAAATAGTCGTTTTTAGGCTGTTGCATTTTGCCCCACTCTCCTCTATTAGCCTAATGAGCATTTTGAAACAAAAATCACGCTCTTTTTCATCTCCGTAGATGAAACTATTTTTTTTATTTATGACCGTCACAAATTAGAAATTAGTTATGACCGTCATTATGCATTTATATAGATGCTTCGACAACAATTTGCTTGCAAATTATTTGTGACCATAATTTTTAGTTAGAACATTTGTGCGTCAAATGACCGTCTACGCATGAAAAAATTCAATAGAAAACCTAGCGAATTCGTTAGAAAATTCTATTGGAATTCTACTGAAAAATTCTATTTATTTTTTGCGCTGATTCAATTGGATGTTCAATAAGAAAAAGTCAATAGATTTCGAATTTCTGTTTGAATTTTTCTCTTAAATTTTTTCTATTAGAATTATGACGCACAAAATTTCCAAGTTTTTTCCACTGAATTTTGTTTTGTTTTACATTGTAGAATCCGAGTGGAAAAAACTTAAAAACATTGATGTCCAAGCATTCTTATAGAAAAAATCTCAAGAGGAGAATTTAAACAGAAATTCAAAATCTATTAACTTTTTTTTATCGAATATCCAATAGAATTAGCGCAAAAAACAAATAGAATTTTTCAATAGAATTCCAATAGAAATCCTATAGAGACCCCATAGAATTCCTATGGAATTCGCGCTTGTGCGTCACATGACCGTCATTTTTTGGTCATATGTCGCGGTCTAAAAAATTACGGTCATTTTGCATCTCTAGGCGTGACATCCTCAACTTTCAAGGATTTCGTAACTGGAAACAGTAGTCATGCACGAAAAAATTTAATAGAAAAACCTATCGAATTCTTTAGAAAATTCTATTGAATTTCTATTCAACTTTCTATTAGTTTTTGACTGATTCTATTGACATGTTCAATAGAAAACATTCAATAGAAAAAGTCAACAGAATTCAATTTTTCTATATAACTTATTCTTTTCATATATTTTCTATAGAATTTACTCGACTCAAATTTTCTAATTTTTTTCATTCTATTTTTCTTTTCTTCTTATCAAGAAAATCAAACGAAAAAACTTAGAAAATTTGAGCCGAGGAAATTCTATAGAAAATATCTCAATAAAATAAGTTATATAGAAAAATTGAATTCTATTCACTTTTTCTACTGAATATTTTCTATCGAACATTTCAATCGAATCGGCCAAAAACTAATAGAACAGTTCAATAGAAATTCAATACAATTTTCTAACGAATTCGATAGGTTTTTCTATTAAATTTTTTCGTCCGTGGTAAACAGTAAAAATAGAGCGGAAAAAAGCTGAAAATTTCATGTCCGTGAATTTCAAGTGAATAAGTAATAAATTAATCAGAATTTATCGACTTCCTTTCATCAAATATCCGTCGAAAAATTATGTAGAAAGATAAAAACCAATAGACATTTGATAGAATTTCCCCAAGATTTTTCTATTTAATGTATCGATAGATCAATACATCAAGACGTCTGTCGATTCGAATTCACCCATCGAAAAATTTCATGTGACATTCAATGAAAAGTGTTCCACAATAATTTGATTAATTTGTCGTTTGACATTTCCTCGTGAGACCATTCAATTTTTAAATAATAGCCTATTTCACAAGATGTGAGCAATTGGCTTGTCTTGTTCGATTCTAGGTGACTGGTTACCACTTGACGACTGAATTACCTCCTTATTATTTTCCAATATAGAACTATTATCATCGCGATAGATCATCCAGGTGCTTAAAAGGCTAATGCCGACGGGTGATGCGTCTAGATCTAAGATTTAAGCGATCCGCATCAATATGAATCGTAAGGGTATCTTCACATGAGCTCTGGAGGCTCCAGCTATAATCTAATTCTCTACGCTCTATAAATGAAACTATTAAAGAGGCAAAATTTCGACCCTGGCTCTCATAGAGATGAAATTACCCGTATTAGACGGATTAAATTCCGCTGATTCTGAATCCGTTAATAGAATTCCTCTAGACCTTCTAGTTTTACAGAAAAAAAACTGTTAAAGTTCCCAAAATCACTCAAAATTCAATAAAAAATTATGGATGAAAATGTTTAGATCCATTTTTTTCCGTTTGAAAAATCAAGAAGTCACAGTCATTTGAAGAAACGTCGACATTATGACTTTAAAATGCTCCGTATATGGGCGTGTAGTGTGATGTCATGATGCAGACGTGTTTTATTGCCCAGAGCTCATGAATTTTCGTTATTATTTATTTATTATTTTACGGAATTCGTCGCAAGAAGCATGCGACAGACGATTGCCCGAGGGCCTTCAGTCTGGTACTTACATTTTATTGTTTACAAGTTGTTTCAGTAGAATGTTAATTTTTTGTTATCTATTTTGTTTTTTATGTTTTTGACAATTTTTTGAGTGATCGTTGAAAAGGCGATTTTCGGAAAAATATAAATTTTTTCGAATCTGTACGAAAAACTAGATTTTAATAGGTGTCAATGAATAGAGGTTACTGAAGTTTATATTCATGGAAAAATTCATGAAATTCGATTCATCTTTTATAAGAAAATTTCGATACAAAGAATGAAGAAAAAAGACGACATATCCACACGCACGAAAAAATTGAATACAAAAACCTAGTGAATTTGCTAGACAATTCTATTCGATTTTTATTAAACTCTGTATTAGTTTTGGCCGATTATATTGAAATGTTCAATAAAAAATATTCTATAGAAAACGTCAATAGAATTCGATTTTTCTATAATACTTATTCTATGGAGATATTTTCTATAGAAACTCTTCGGCTCAAATTTTCCAAGTTTTTTGTTTAATTTTCGTGAAAAGAAAAGAAAAATCGAATGAACGGAACTTATCCTAACACAAAAAATTGTAAACATAAATTTGAGCCATTACAAATAAGCTTCCATTCGGAAGCAAAAATAATTAGATGTTTTAAACTGTCTAGAATGAGATAATTCTTTTA